TTTTACTCACCTCACAGAAACTTCTCCCTTACTGTGTCATACTCTATAGCATTTTGGTACAGCTTTAATTTCTTCTCTGCAAGCATCAGTAAACCTGGCTAAGAAGCCTGACAAGGATTACTCCTGAATATTCTAATTACAGTGGCCTTTGTATCATCTCTTGTATTATCATTCCTCTTGCACACTGGTGCAAGACAGCTGGGAGAGACTAATCCCCGTTTGCTGAAACCATTCCTCACAGGATGCTTACAAATGATCTGAATTCAAGAAAAGATACAGGTGGCTTAAAAACACACAACTTTGGGACTGATTTTCTGCCAAGCAGAAAACTCGGACAGAAATAAATCTCCTGGGACACTTTCTTCATTTTACGCTACATAAGTTGTTACAGTTAGGAATACAGTCATGCTTTTCAATGCCAGCTGCTGCAACAGAGTTAGCATCCACAGATCTCCATTACTAATGAGAAATACATTCAAAATTAAATTAATAAATAAACAAAAAGGAGGCCTAGGTAAGAAGACAAATTCTTCAAAACAAGTATTTAAACAAAATCCATTATCCTCTCAAAATCTGTAATATTCAAGCCAAATGAACTAAGTCAAAATAATTTGTCAGAAAAATGCTTGTTCAGTATCTGAGATGTTTACTTTTTCTTGATTATGACAATGATGCAAGTTCCCTGTTCCTGGAAATGTTAAAGGCCAGGCTGGCTGGGACTATGAGCAATCCCTATGGGACTGAGATGTATCTCTGCCCAGGGCATGGGGGTTGGAACTGGATGATCTTTAAGGTCCCTTCCAATGCAAGCCATTCCATAGTTCTATGACAACCCAGACAGATAGTTGTATGACATGTTCTTAAAATATCCTATTTAAAACAAATACTTTGTCTACAGATTATAATTGATTTTCCTTCTCCTGTGTACAGAAATGGAAAAATCACCTCATGATAAAATTTTTGATGTGCTGTAAGATCTGTTTCCCTATCAACACTTTCTCAGAGCAATAAAGGAAACCCAGCACTTCAAGTTTTCTAAATCTAAGTAAATTGTTCTTGAAACCTGCTGCTCTTTTTTAAACACTACATGATCTTAAAAGTGGTATATATGAGAGCAGTCACAGTGCTTCCACATAAAATTAACCTTCTATTATATTCAGTAAACAAGGGAACAGAAACAGTGCCAGCATCAGGAGCAATAGAATGCTTTTACTTTCCTCTATCAGGAGTAATCCAACTTGTGCAAAGAAGATGGGGCTCTATCATTTGCAGAAAGTTTGGCAGTTTTACTAAGATAGGATCCATATGCTTCAAAATGAGCAGAACTACATGCATGACAGTGACTTTTTTTGTGAGCTGCTGAAAATCTCTGGTATGTACACAATGTGGAGAAGAGGCACAATATTAAATTTACTTGTTTCGCTTCACGTCATGGGATTGAATGTTGTGGATGATTTTACATAATTGATTTTCCATTAAACAAACAAACAAAAAAACCAACCTGAGTTAGTTGAGTTTTGGAAGAGAATTAAATGAGTGGACCCTTTTCTGTTCGAGCTATTGGGATACCTAGAAAACTATTCAATTTTTCACAAAACTCAAGCTTTTCATGAATCTTAACTAAAACAACTAATATATTCTCTATTTCAGATATTTTTGAATTATGATGGGGAGGATCTTCACTCAGCAAAATGATGCTGGATTGATTGTAGGTGCTGGAGATACATTTCTAACACAGTAATGTGGTAACTATACTAAATCGTATGAACACCCAACATTAAAACTAAATTCAATGTGGGTAATAGATACTAAACATGTCTGATCATTCATCCTGATAGGAAGTATCAGGTAAACGTCTAGGAAAATCAATTAAACAAGACAAAGAAGACTCAAATAGGCACCATTAAGCAAGGCACCAAAACTAGAAGATGATCTTACAGCTAATTTATTAGAAGATTTCTCTCAAGACTACCATTATCTCAAATAATTACTGTGTGCAAAAGATGGGTTGTAACTCTCTCCCACCAGCGTATTAATGCCAATACAATGACTAGCAATTATGGCATAGGTATTCAAAAGACTGTCATTTTAATATTATGTTCTTCCTCTTCCTTCTTTTCTGAGATATTTTGCACTTTATCATAGGGATTGTAATTCTTTGCATACAGAGTACCAGTGGGAGCTTGCTTGCATATACTTCAGCAAATACTTTTGAAATATTAAACATTTAATTAAAGGCAGATGTCCAAAATCAGCATGTGTATGTACTTGGGTGGGTAATTTAAAAAGTTCTCCAGCTGGACAGGTTCAAGGATTTTGTTATCAGCAGAGAGATCATAGATAAATTCATCTGGAAGTGCTCTGTATGTAGGGATGCCTTTATATAGGATAACCAGCCAATATACATAAAGATTCAGCCTAGGTATTTTCCTGTAAGAGGAATAAGTAGCTATGTGATTAGACTAGCCAGGTGTAGGACAGTTTTTTTTTTATAGGTTTATAAAGCATCTATGTACCCATTCATTTTCACTGTCAAATTGTATGTCTTTTATGTCAGTTCTCTTCCCAGAAGGAGGCTTAATCTTGAAAAGTAACAGCAAAATTTCAGCTCACACTGAAGTACATAGGCACCACTCACTGTATGAGGATTTTGAAAAAGCAACAGCTTAAAATTTTGCCTTTTAATAAACTACTACTGTACAAGAAGCAGCATTAAGTAACAGAATTCTAATTGAGAGAGACATTATTTTAGAAGAAATTTCTCAGACTAACATCGGTATATTGTTTGCCTTAAGAAAAAGAATTTGGCATGAATCAAAAGTCAAATTGCTTTTCAAGTCAAAAGTATTACAGAATTATTCGGTGTTAAAACTACATGGATATTCTTTTTGCTGTTTTACTTCTCAGTTGATTAATTTTCCTTCTCCTGGTCATACACTGCTGAATGCTATCACTAAACTCAGAAAAATTAAATCTCTAGGTTCTTTCCTCTGCAAAAAAATTTCAGGAGAATAATTTTCTTAAAAGTAGAGCTGCTACAAGTGTTTTTTATAGCACATTTCTTATCCAAGCAGCAAATATACCCAAAGGAATACTGAGCTTATCTAAAAGTATTTTGCAGCATTTTATGATGTATGGCAAGGTTGCTGTGTACCAGAATGAAAAAAAGATTTTATAAGAGGAAAAAAATAAAATAAAATTTGGATGTGCTTTTCAGAATAGATCTGATTTTTCTAAAGAATCATTTAATATTAGTGGCATCAATTTCCAGGACCAAAATGCTTCCTATCTCCACAGGGACATCCTAGCACAAGCAACACCAGTTCTGTTGCCCACAGTTCCTGTTTCCGATCCAGGGCCTTACACATTTCTAGTCTTATTGTCTTCTTACTACCTCTCACTGCCTACTTGTTGGTAATTCAGTATGAATAGCAACATAAAAATAAAATAAGAATAAAAATAAATAAATAAATAAATAATCTTGACATGATGAAATTTGAAATGGCACCTTAAAAGTTGGAAACTAATATAAATAATGACATAGACTGATGCACAAAGTAACAAATACAAAGTGCATATAAATTGATGGATGAATTAAAATGTCAAAATTAGAAGAGAAGGGAGGAAGATAATGTCTTTTCCATAATATATCAACATTTGCTCATGATCCAAGTTAGCACAAACTTATCATTTATTTGACTTAAATAACAAAGCTTCTGCTTAGAGAGGATGTAGGACAAATGTCTGATCTGTCTTAGATGGAACAACTGGATATAACTATCATAAAACTGCAACACCACTCTGAAGCTGAAACAGAACCTTATGCCCATTACTTAATAAATTTCTAAAAGATAAGTTCAATAAAAATATATCCAATTTCACACTGCAGAATCTCACAGGGCCACACATGCTGTATATATTTTATTGAATTCTGCCTGAAGCACAGATTTGTAAATGAGAAATTATCTGTTTCTGAAACTCTACTAAAATCTTTTTGTTCTCCAAAGTTGATTGTATTTCCACTTTAAGTCCCTCACCTCACTCATTTTTTTTCTCTTGATCTACACAGGCTAGAATAGCAGAAGACTTTTTCAGACATACACACATTAGAAAGCAGACAATGTTCCTCTCCATTCTGAATGAAAGAATATTAAAATTATTTGTTCAGTCTGAAGTAAATCACCATTTTGGAGTCAGTGAGTAACATTCACAGAAAAGAGCTACAGTAAATCTTTAAGAAATACCTGTCAGAAGTCACCATCTCCTAGCTATTAATATCAGATTTCACCTTTCAAGAAAAGGGGGAGGAAAAAATAAATAATCTAATGAAATTTCCATGTATTTTTCCACAAAAACCAAAGGTCCAGAGTTTCTAAAACAGCATAGAGTCTGTTTTTTCTCAAGCCCAGAAGACGTTAATGCAGCCATTCTGCTGGGTGTCCTCTGTAATATCGCCCAGCTCGGGGCTGTATAATTTAAAGAATCAAACCAGCAGACTGGTGCCTCCCTGTGGAAAGCTTACTGTATTTTCCCAGACAGATGTCAGACAGACTCAGCCATCAAAGGCAGTGCTGCTGACTGATGTCTAAGTCAAAGACAAACAAACAAACAAACCTAAAGATAACTTTAATGGAGCAAATATAAGCAGATCAAAGGCATAGAGGAAAGGAAGTATGTGCGACAGTAGCACACATTCGGAGTTAAGCTGACAAACAAGAGAATCAAAGAGAGGAAGAGGACATGATTTCTTACTTCCAAAATTTAGACATAAGCATGGCACCTAAAAAAAGATATCAAGATATAAATCTGGATCATTTCTTTATCACCACAGTGAGTGTGCTTGCAGTAAAACAAGCAATGACACCATTGTATACCCTGACAGCATTCAGGCTCACTGTGGGGAAAAAGCTACAATCCTAACAGCCTGCTGAAACCTCAGCCACTATCAAACAAACTTTCCAACAAGGTGTCCTGCTGAGAAGTCCTTCTCTCCAGTTTTCCGCAAACATCAGTCACTGTAGTAGGGTTATAACACTGCTGAGTTCTTTCCTAACCAAGAGATACAAAGGGTATGAATGTACTCAAAGCCTCACTTAGGTTTTGCCAAAATTCAGGGGATGAATTCTCCTTGTTCAGGAGGTTCACAGCAGAGGTGAACTGACTTCTACTTCAGATGATTCCTGATTCCTGCACAGCCCCTCCTGATGAGAGCTCAGCTGCTCTGGTTAAGGTCATCTGGAGAATGTCTTAAGTTGAACCAGATTCTACCAGGATAAACAAAACCCTTTATCTCCATCCATCTCCAGACTAATAACAATGGAGGGCAAACATCAGTGTTGTTATATTAGTCTTCTTATTATTTATGACAGAAAGACTTGGTCTCTTAAACTCACATAAACTGTGCTCTGCCTAGGTTTGCAGCTTGGATTTTCCTTATCTTACTAGCAGATGACTGTTTAGGCTTTCTAAGTAACATACGCAATTAAGTAACAATAAAACCCATTTGCAAGTACAGTTATTCCAACAGGTAACAGGAAATTGCTTCTTGCAGACTTAGTGCATTTCTGTAGTGAAAATGGTTTTTAAGAAGTCCTAGCACAATATTAGTTTTTCATAGTCAGTGAATTGTATCACTGTCACTGCATTTTATAGAAGAACTTCTGTAAAGCTAAGTACCACTGCTAGCTTGAGTAACTCTTCCACAGTTTAATGAATAGAAAACCTCTCACATTATTTCACAGCTACCACTTTTCCAAAACATTTTACAATGAAAGAACTGCAGCTTGCCTTCCTGTGAACATCAGATAAAGATTCCTCCCTGGACATACCAACAGGAGAAATCCACCACAGTACAGCTTCAAACTACCCATTAACACCAAATAGGAAAGGTAGAAGTACTAATTTTGAAAATGTTAATTCCTGCACTTCTTACCTCAGAAAGAGCCCTTCTGCAGGACAGATGACTTCTTTGCCAATTTAGAGACACTAAAAAGACACAAACCCCGTGGTAAGTATTGGCCAGTTCTGTAATCCACACACCCCATTAGCTGAAGACTAGCAAAATCAGAATAATGTGCAGACTAAACCTTCTACAAAGACAGGGAGGTATCTCATGAATTCCTTTCCTCTTGTTCCTTCAGAACATTCTGAAATAAGAATCTTTCTGAATGGGTTTGCTTAAAGTGCCTATGTATTGCAATGATTCTTCAATAAAATCCAATTTCCCTGAGACAGTAGGCAGTAGCAAGCAAATTTTCAAGACTTACTTTTCTTGATCCTTTAAAAATAAACTAAAATGCTGTGTTGAGTAGGGAGAAGGGCCAAAAATCAGAAAATGTTTTTGTGGAAACCCACAAAACATCAAAAGAAAAAGGGAGTCAGTCTTGAGCAGAGAAGATAGATTTTACGCATTTTCAGGAGAGCACATGGAGGGAAATTCAAGACAATCCTTAAAAGAGTGTTGATTTCAAATTAAACATTAATTAATGTTTAAAATTAAATGTTTAAATTAAGCAGCTACTAACAAGTAAATGATGATGAAGTCAGTGAGAACAGAATTGCTAGTTACCAGGGAAGTGTAGTCTGAAAACAATACTAGGTATCATTTTCATTTTGTATTTTGCACAGCTATTATGTTCTATTCAGACTTCAGTGATCATTATTCTCCCTGCAGCACCAACAGATATTCAAACATTTAAAAAAGTATTTAGGTCCAATTCTCATTATGTGAAAATAAATAAATAAACAAATGCACTCATATATATCTACTGCTTACCTACTTTCTTTGTTTTCATGAACTTTTAAGGTTCAACTCTTCAAACTTTCTTTACGATTTGAGATCCAAAACTTTATTTGATGAGTTTCTTCTCCTGTAAGAAAAAGCCAAGGTGAAATGGCAATAGAGCAAAACAAAATATCTATCATGAAATTGAAACCAACTCTAAAGAAAAAGAACACTCTTTCTGGTGGGTTTTTCATTTGTTTATTTGGTCATTTTTTCTCTTAGACTCATGATTTCCATAGATCCAAAAGGTACTGCTGACACTACACAATACCTTGATCAAGTGCAATGCCATGTAAATGGAATTAATAGGAAAAAGTTTGCATGACCTCAGGAGCTGCCAATTAGTATTACTAAGTGGGTGGTAATAATTGCATTAATAGATAATGTTAGCTTTGTTCCTTTTCACCTACAAGTATAGTAGTTCAGAAATGCTACTTGTATATAATAAAAATTAATTACAATTGCTGTGGTAACTACAACTTTAATTAAACACTACATGGTACGATAATGCTAAGTAATCTTGATAGGTGTTTGGTGCTGAATATTTAACACTAAATTTCCTTCTCTTATTATATTGTCTGAAGTATTTCCATGGCTGTTTTCTCAATTATATTGTTCAAATTCTACGGTATAAAGAAACAGACTGAAGTTCTGTTAATTGTTTTGCAACTATTAATGTATCCATAAGAAATGAATACTGTTTTCATAACTCATATATTTTTCAAATTTCACATAATGAAGTTGTTGTGAATGCTAAGCTGTTGATTATAAATGCATCTTTTCAGAATAAGCACATATATGTATATATTCCAAACTTACATAAACATAAAAATTTAGGACTAAAAAAAATTTATATGTGAAGTTGATATTTGCAAGTGTGTTATAAACCTTTATTTTGATTAATTCTATCAGACTGATTTTTTGAACATATCGGTACCTGAGCAGTTCTGTTGAAAGCCCAGACTCCAGCTGTGAATGATAAGCGCTTGAAACTCTGGTTCATCTGAGCCACGTTTACTTGCACTGTAAACTGAGATTACACTGTGTCTGAATGTTATAGGAAGCAACACTACTAACTGTTGCCAGAAACTTCCTACTGCAAGAATTTCATATCAGTAAATTAGTATCAGAACGCACAGGAACGTACATAGACAGCATACAAGCGTTTTCCTTCTAAATAAACTTTGGATACATAGTTTGGATTTCTTGTGGCCTAAATTAGCCTGGAAGAAAACAGCAGATAAGATTACACTACTCAGACTGAAATTTTCTCTGTCGCCTCTCTATCTTGGGCTGATTTCTTTTGCCTTCAAGATTCATTTAAAATAGTTCAGCCTAGTTATAGGGAACAAAAATACAGTGCTCAGAATTATGCTGGAAAGCTTTCATGCATTGAAGTGAGTGCCTGAAATGAGAATGAAATGTCTGGGTGTCAAGAATGTACTTTTTGAAAACCCTATGAAAATCCAAGGAAAATACATGACAGACCAATAAGACTTTCCATTCTTCCATTCAGTCTATGTTCGCTGTGGAGACCAAGGCAGTATGATGTATCTGCATGGGAGGAGAAGAATATCCTGACTTTTCCAAACCTCTCAGTATATAATTTGATGTACAATTTGGGGTTTTTGAGTTTGCCAGTTTGCCATTTTATTTCACTGAAATTGCTTAATAACCTGCATCTGCTTCCTGGTAGACTGTAGTAGGTTAAATTACTGGGTTCATAAGCTGTGTAGCTAAAAGTCATATATCAAAGACTATAAACTCATATTCATTTCTTCTACAGCAAAGGGATAGATGATTAACATTAATTGATGTGAGGACAGTACAAAATATTTTTTCTTGCTTTTTACACTTCATAACTTTGGGATGCATTTGGCCTTAGAGAAATTTTGACAGACTGTGTAATCAACATGATGACCACTGATGAAAAATTTCTGTTAATTGGTCACAGTTCAGGTAAAAGGAATGGACACGAGGTGCATTGCTCACCACACTCCTTTCCATCTTGCCCTCTCTTCACTATCTGCTCCCAGATGCAGACATTAATACCTCTGTGCCTACTCAATAAAATACTGCAGAGAAATGATCTTTTCTCAAAACTAAATCATTTACATTTATTTATTTATTATTATGCACTGCTTCTTTCAGACAGAGGAGCATTTTATTCAATTTAAATGCCTACAGAACTATGGCCTTAGAATATCTCTTTAAAAAAACAAAAACCGCAGTTTAAATGGTACTTAACTGGGCTTTAGTTAGGTGTGAAAGTCTGAGCTAATCTATTAATAATGAAGTTTTCAGCTAAAAATTTAAAGAAGTAAAGATCAAATAAAGATGAAAGAGTCTGAATCTCATTTTTAGTCTTACATCTTTATTCAGTATAGTATTTTATGTTACTTAGTCATTTTAGACTTAAAGGAAGTAATGACCTCCTACTGATTTGCAAAAGGTGTTCAACTGGACTAAATCTGTCCACTGAGCTATTTCCTGTAAAGGAGATAACATGGAACTGCATTTTCAAAACGTTATTCTAACCATGCAGTCATGTTAGATATGATGTCTTACGTATGGAAATGATTTTTCAGGAGAAAGACCCAGTTCTCCAAGTTTAAAAGAATTGTATTCATTCATATATGCATAAGAGGAATCACATGTAAATCAAGATTCCTTACAGGATTATATTCCCATTCCAAAGGTAGACACCTTTGGAATCAAGTTAACACTTTATAATTCAAAGTACAAAGGTACTTCCCTTTATGGTTTTCTATTTTTCATGTTCGGGGAAAGAATGGTAACACATTCATAACAAACTCAGAATGACAAGAAGTTGCATAAGGGCATAATTAAAGGACTGTTTTGTAAGAGCAAGAGTTGTTCAAAGTTATTTAAAGTAAGTTCTTCCCAGTTTTTTTCTTGCAGGGAAAGTGATGCAAGTTAGATACACAGTAATACAAATGATTTTTGGTTTATTGTTCATCTTCCTCTCCAGAGAATAATATCTTTGCATTTTTATCTCCTTTTTTTTAATCCCCTTTTATGCCCACTAGAAAGAAGGAAAATGCAAGACCAAAAGAACTGCAAAAGAAATACACAATTCCTACATTTAGAAATAGATTTAGTTCAAAAATGAATCAGATCCAATAAAACAAAAAGATTGAAAAGAATTGATCTATTTGAATTTTTTTTTTTTTTTTGGGGGGGGGGGGGGGGGAACACATGACATGACATCTCTGGTTTTTTTGTTCTTGTTTGTTTTTTTTCCCCCTATAATTAGATATATGACTGATAATCAACAATAAGAGATACAATAGATTATGAGCTCCTTCCAGAGACATTTTGGTTGTTTCTTTCTAGAAATGAAAATACAATGTGAAAGTTTAAAATAGTTTCAACTACAAGTGATAGAAAGTCAAACAAGGATTTCCCTTTTAAGATATTGTAGTGATCTAACTTTCACAGGCCAAAGTAGAATTTCATAATATTTGTTTTAGAAAATTTTAAAAAAGTATTTAGTTTTCTGGAAAAAAAATTAAATTCTGGAATGTGTTTTTGAAAGTGTGGCATAGGCATATTCCTTTTTTACAGCAGTAAGCCATGGTAACAACACTGGTAGCAGAATTGAAACTTCCTTCTATATCTTCCTCTGCCCTTGACTTACAGCAGAGCCTGGGAGGTATTGCAGATGCACACAGAAGCCTCATAATTATGTCTCTGTTAAATGGAATTCTAAAGAGAGATCATCAAGGATGTTTAGAAATTAACTAATCCATGTGATAGGCTTGTGAATATGTTTACCATTCAAACATTAATAAAAACATTAAACAGATTGCAGCAACTGTTAAATACTATTGTAAACAGAGAATGGAACAAGCAATGGGGGGAGAAGGACTCCACATTTATGGTGGGAAGACAATCATGTCCTTATGTACTTTCAGCTGAAAAGAAGGGTTTAAAAGTTACTGAACTAGAATTTGCTTACCTTCTCTCAACTCTCCCATGTGAGACTGGAAAAGTAGCAAAAGAAGTATTTTTCAGTGGTTCAGTATTTACACAATATAATAATTTTCATAATTATTTATGAAAATAAATAATTTTCATGTCCTCTTCTCCTCAGAAGGAGCTCAGATGCTCCTGATTCTAAATAAAGCAGCACAGACTAAGGAAACATCTGCAACGACTTTCTGAGTTTTGCAAGACTTATCTTTTGTTATTACTCCTCCTTTGCACTGTTTTAACTCTTTGCAGTATGGAGGTGCTAATATTTGAATGTATTGTATAGCGCTCTGTTCTTGGGACAATGACATTTGCAACTGCCGAGCATTAGTATTATTACTGCCCTCAAGTAGGCTCCTCCCAATCATAAATATTTGAATACTACCATGGTTCTATGTGGTAATGTGAATCACAGATGCACATCATCCCTACCAGTACCTTGAGGTTTTCCCCAGGATGCTTCCATTATACCATTGCAAAAAACAACAGTATATACAAAATTATTCGATATGGTAAAGACAGCTAAGAAACAAGGAAACATAAATACCACCAATTACACCTATTTCCAAATTTATACACATTTAAACTTTGCAATCTAAAAATATGTATCTAAACAAAATGGCCTCTACTTATATCTTCCTGAATTATCTCCCTTTATAGTACTGCTGCTCTCTTATAGTTTCTGTATCATACACGTCACTTTAAAAAGAAAAAAGAAGCTAGTTACCCCTTATCACAAGTTGAAGATGTGTTGTTGTTCCTTTGCAGCCCCAGCACAAGTGTTTGGGATTCCTACTGTTCACAGAAAACATCACTGAATGTCCGTATTTTCTTTGGGGAAATGCTGTTTTTTGTTAACATAGTAGAGAAAAAACTGACCTTTTCCCTTAAAAACTGAGTGAGAGATTAAGTGTTTTCTTTTCCTGGAAAATACTGTGCTTTAAGCAGTGCCCAAAAAGGCAATTCTGATACTTCAGGGCGGTAGTGGCAGTGTTTGATGCACAGCTGAGATCAATCGGCCACTTGGCCTCAGCTACCTTTCCTATCAGTCCCAGGGCATTGCCTTGCCTCTCGGGCTTT